ATAATATTTTTTTCCTTTTTTTCTATCGAACGTCATACATGGCAACACTTAAGACACCAGCGCATAAGAAAAAATAAAAAAGGGGGTGGAAGGTAAAGAGGGGGAGGAAACAGTTAAAAATTTTTTACAGTTTGTAGTATCGAAATATGCTTATAAGAGAAGATTTTAGAACTTTTAACCTTTTAATTTATTTATAATATATACTAGTTATACAAAGATTAAAGCAGATTTTACGTTTTTAAATTATACAAAGTGTAACCAAAAGGTACGTCTATATATCGTTTATGTACTCATTATTTTATGTAAACTCTCTACTGTTATAAGTTAAATATATATATTGTATTTTAGTTGACTGAAGAGGGGCAAAGCCCGAAACAAGTAAAAAATGTACCGTATCAACTAATAAAGGAATTTGATGGAAAATTTGCCATGTGTCTTTAGAATAAAACACATTACTAGTGTTTATTACGCCACAAATATAAAACAGGACACGGTTTCAAAAAGAAAATGTGTTATAAGTTACCAGTCTGTACATATGACGATAAACGTAACAGATATTTTTAATATAATTACACTTTATTAAAATTATATATAGCTTTTTACTTAAATAATTAATTAGTTTCAGAAAATAGCTCTTCTACTCTTTCTTTCACTGCAAGAAAAGTGTCGTGACAGGCTTGGTAAAGAGCGTCTTCTACTTGAGATTCCGAAATCTGAGAAAATCCTTTTTCATCTGCAAATTAAAATATTGTTAGATTATTTTCTTGAAATTTAAGTTATAATTGTAAAATAAGAATGTGATATGCAAACGTGTTCAAAACTGTAGGACGATATATTTCAAAATGGTAATTTTGTGGGAAGAGAGTTAGGAATTTTTAGGGATCTCAGAGCATTAGTCTCTAAAAGTCCTCCTTACATAAAGATGTAGAGCCAAAATAATTTTTTCTGTGAATATATCAATGAATTATATAATTCAAGTACGAAAGTTTTTCTGACTTTGCATTATATTTTAGCATTAATTAATACAGTAGAGTCCCAAAAACTCATCCTAATGTGGACCGAAGGGTGGCTGAGTTTGTGAAAATGCCGGGTTATCGGGAATGGGGTTAAAAAAGAATAAGTACTAGTGTTTCCTCAGAAAATACTGTACTGTACTTGTATGTATTGTTTGCTTGAGAATACAACAGAAAATAAACCGCCCAAATACTCTTAAAGAAAGGAAAAGTATGTACTTTATGAAGGCATAGAGTCTTTACTATATGAAAATGAAAATTAATGAATACACAGTGTACAGTAATTTACCTGATAAACTGATCACAGAAAAATACTTTATGAGGCATAAAGCTGTCTATAATGAAAATTAACTAGGGTTTTTTTTCGCCCTGCCAGGGTGTGGCCGAGTTATCCGGACTGCCAGATTATCGAGTGCCGAGGTTTCAGGACTCTACTGTATTAATATTGGCAATGGGAGGACAGTGAGTTTTCTTACATCTTAGCCATTGCTCGTACGGAACTTATAATAATATTTTGGCATCAGGGAATGGTATCTTCTTTAGATCTACATCATTAGCAGTATCATGAGGGACAACGTTACCATATTATCGAAGGAAAACAGTCACATGACCATAAAAATTGTCTCTGATATCACGTCAAAAGCAACTATGTCGACTAGATTACATTTCTTAGCATTTATCAGGAAAATAACTCGATATTAAATAATATTAACAGTGTTGGACAATCCGTAAAGGCCTTAACCAATTCTGATACTATATAATTTGTCGAGATCTCTTTCCTATTAATCAGATTATGGGTTCAAAGATGCTAATTAAGCTAAAATAAACAATTACTCCTTGCATTTTCTAACTTACAGAGAAATTTCTATAAGAGGTAAGTTTAAAAATATCATATCAATGTGAACAAAACATTTGTGTAAATATAAATAAATAAATAAATTGTTTGAATTCATACTTTTAATAGGCAGATGACCGGCAAGTTCACACAGGGCAGGATTAAATGCCTCATCATTCTTAGCACCTGAAAAGATTTAATTTTTAGTAATTATTGCTTTATTTTGCCATAAAGTCGGCGATTCTAAATTTACCGTAAGAAGACTTTCTCGCCCAAACATATATACGAACGGCTTTGTAGACGGCGGGAGTTATTCCTTCATTAGCTTCTTCGAATGTACTACCTCTGGTTATAAATATATTGTGAGCAATACCGTTATCCTTAAGAAACTGTACAAGTTTATTTAACATCCTGAAATAAAAGTGACATTAAAAATAAAGCAATATACTTCTAATCTCTTGGTATCTCGAGAATAGTCACAGCACAAAGCATTAAAAAGTTCGGCTAAGTTGAGTAACACGTCATTCCAAACTCTTTGGATTTTGCATTGAGTGTGGATATTTTTAATTGAATTTTTTTCAAGACTTGCTTTATGCTTTGTGCTTTTCAGAGTATACAAAGGTTATTACCTCACCATCTTTTTACAATTGATTCCAGTGACTTGAAAGGCAAATCCTTCTGCAGGATATTTGGAAATTAAATAGCAACCATTGCATAAATACTTCGCTCTCTAGGATTGAAGAATCTCATTAATATACTTTAAAATTTGGTGAAGACATATAAAAACTTAGCTACTTACACTGGTTTCGAGATAAAGTTTAGAAGACAGATAATAAATATGAAAGTGGAAATGATTAACCGATGCGTACGCTCCTAAACTGTTGAATCCTACTTTAAGACTACTGAAAAAGGAATATAAAAATGAAAACATTTTGGAATTGCTTCTGAATTCTAAATTAATTCGACAGCTTAAAGGCTCATTCATACATTCTGAGAACAGAAAAATCGGCTAAATAGAGTGTTTTGCAATGTTTCGGATGTCACATACATTATTTGAATCAAAACAGAATGATACATTAGGGCAAAAGACGTCTCTACCTTCTTACATTTCATGCTAAATATTATTCTATGCACCGTTCATTGTGAATTAATGACCAGATGGCCAAGCAGTTAAGTTCGCAGCCAGGATTGAATCCAGACAGGTCAAAAAATCTCAAGAATTTTTTAGGGGCAGTCCACCTAGATGTGTCATCCCTCGTTACCCAGCCACCCTATAGTGGACTTGGCCAAACCTTTAATTAATGGGCTTGCTAAAAAGTCCCTCTTAGTGCCCACAGGACACTAAGAGGGACTAAGAAAGAGTTAAGATTCGTCGAAAGTTACAAACACATAAGAAATAGTGTGTCTGTCATTTATGGAATTCCATTCTTACAAAGTATGACTAGCCTTAAGTACTGTGTATAAGTACTGTAATATATATAGTACTTCTATTAATGCCAAAACAAATATCAAGGAAAATAACTATAGAAAGTGTAGGGAGGTACAGTACATACTGATTTTGACTCAATAATACAATTTCTACAGCCAGTTGTAATCCTCCTTCTGTAATGCACTGAAAAATAACAATGCAGAAATTAATGTTACATATTATAGTATTGTTTAATACCACTATAAATTTATAATTTTGACATTAGAAAAAATAAACATATTTAATAACAATTTTAATACGATTTTTACATTTATTGATAGCAGAAATCAGTAATATCTTTATATCATTAAGGTATGTTTATGGAATCCGATACCGAGTGCAATTTCAAGCTGGGCAGAAAGCTTTTAGTTAGTGCCGCACATTGCAGAAATGTTTATACATGAAAACTAGGGTTTGGAGAAGGGTTCTTGGCTCACATTATAGGTCAACTAATTTCTAATTATTTCCAAATTAATTTTCTAATTGATTAATTATATTATTTTAATTTTGAGAAGGATAAACTTCATAATGTGTGCAATATTTCTGGATCAAAAAAGTAACCGATGTTGAATGAATTTCCGAAGTTCTGCATGGCCAGAAATACTTGTCGTGCATAACTTCGGAAATAAGTGATCAATATTCAAGCCCGCGTCTATAAGAACATACTATAGCATGTCGACATAAGAGAAAAGCATTAAAAGACTCGTAAAAGATGGGATGATCAAATCCTACGGCAGGGATGGCCAAACCTTGTCACATTAGGAATCATTTATTGCCTGTCAGAAATATGCAAGAGCCACATCCTATAACAGAACAGCATTTTATATTATATTTTGTTAAAATGGTATAGTTCATTGACGGCAGTTGCCTGTTTAAGGTTAAGTTGTATGTTACGCTACAATCCGTGTGTATATCCTACTACATAATAGTGAGCAAACTTATCAAGTGTGTGCGCATAGTCTCTAGAGATGATCGAGACAGTCGTATATCTGGCAGCCACTTCAATTATGGAGGCAGCTTATTATGAGTCTACAGTTAAATCAGTCTTAGTAAACAGTCAGATAATTAGATTTTAACACTAAAAAACCAATACTCTATTAGGCGTTACATAAAATGAGTAGCTCAAATGGTGTACTGACTGCTTTGTGATACAGTGTGGATTTGCATCTCAGTAATGTTAAATTTTTGTACGGAACCGTATCTGGAATCTGTTTGACATCTGATAAGTATCCAGTCTCTAGTTCCTGTACAGGATAATCCTACGTTTCATCCTTTACTCTCATGTCGATGGCTTCAAAGTAGTGGTTTGTAAACCCATTGTTCCCACTTGTGTTATGAGAGTGTTTATTTGTATTATAGAGGGTGTATCAGAATGACGTTTTAAAAATTTGGGGGATTGTAGAGGATGAAATTTTGAACGTTTTGATACAAGGAACCTACAGCCAGAAATGTGATATAAAGTTTCTACAGCACTTTGCACACACTATGTGGTTGGTATGATNACCCGTACAAAATAGTCCCATTTGACATTAGTGGCATACAGGAACCTACAGCCAGAAATGTGATATAAAGTTTCTACAGCACTTTGCACACACTATGTGGTTGGTATGATGAATGAAACAACAGAATACAGTATTTATGACAAGTTTTATATGACAAAACATCAGAGTAAAATCAAACTGTACATTGAATCAGTGGCTGCACTACTTTAGAGTAAATGTGACGACCACCAACTTCGTTACATAATGTGCAATGACAAACCATGTTTTGTCCAACCCTCTGTAAGATGCCACGCTCCCCTCTGATGGTATTAAATGCTGTAAAGAAGTGCTCCGTAAGCTCACGAACTGTTGATACAGGTGTTGCGTACACAAGGGACTCATGTTGACTAGTTGTGTGTTTACAGCCCAGCGCCAGTGGATGTAAGGGGTAACCTGAAGGACGACAAGCACTAAGTACACAACGTCCTGTACACAGGCTCAGTTAGACCACTGTAGTTGTGTGCTTACAATCTTCCATCTGCAGCAATAATATGACGTCAATGGACAGAAGGGTAACTACCAAAATGAAGGGCGGTGAAGCACTTCCTACCGCTGTAGACACTTTAGTTCAAATTTCCGGCTATAGGTTCCTTATATCAAAACGTTNGACGACAAGCACTAAGTACACAACGTCCTGTACACAGGCTCAGTTAGACCACTGTAGTTGTGTGCTTACAATCTTCCATCTGCAGCAATAATATGACGTCAATGGACAGAAGGGTAACTACCAAAATGAAGGGCGGTGAAGCACTTCCTACCGCTGTAGACACTTTAGTTCAAATTTCCGGCTATAGGTTCCTTATATCAAAACGTTCAAAATTTCATCCTCTACGATCCCCCAAATTTTTAAAACGTCATTCTGATATACCCTATATGGTTGCCGCTTTCCATGCATGATAGCCCGAATTATGATTTATAACATTATAACGTCCGAAGCAAATTTAATTATCTGAAGACCTGTTAATTCTTGATATTTGAGTGTTCTACCGGTTTGGCTTACCTGCGGTAAACAACTATTTATGTATGGAACCAACAGACTGTTGCAATATTCTAACGGGCTAACATTAATAAGCAGACAGTGAGGTATCTAACAAGAGAAAAAAAAATCGTAAATAAAGAAAAAATATTAATATGAATGAAATTTAACATTTGTTTTACTATTTTTACCATGTTAGCACTTCCTGATTTTTCTTCGTCTTCGTTATTACGTCCGACATAAAATAAAATCTGTAACAAAGTTTTGTTATTCGAAAAGAACGTAAAATTAAATAGAACCGTAGAATTAAAATTATTTACTTCAAACAAACCTCTTCTTCTTTAACTTTCGTAAAATTGAATAACTTTGGATCGAACGGCATGTTGATGCTCGACACCGTTTGCGGTTTTCTTCGTTCCACGGCTCTCTTCACATTTAGCTATTGACGTAAATAAAAAACGATTACAATTTAAAATGTCGTCTTAGTCTTTATTGGCTTTCGGAAGACACGAACACCGCACGAAAGGAATTCTACAGATGGAAAATTGCCCGAAGAATACAAAACTTGTCCTAATGTTGTTCCAAAAGGCTACGACAAGTGAAGAATCGACCTCAAAAGTGTGACAAATCTGAGTCTATTATATTTAGTGTCAACAGTATAATGTAGCGAAGCTTTTTTTGTGACTGTAACTTGATATCCGAATGATTCAACGATGCTAGCAAATATTTCCCTTCAAACCTGTCTTTGGTTTGAGTCCAGACTAAAATTTCGATGGATGACATTAATGATTTGACATTTTTTTAAAGCTTTGCAAGTGCGACATCTAACCTGTTCATAAAAATTTCTGACAACTGCCAAAATCCAAACCAGACTACCCGCTTAAAATTCAGATTCCTCGGTGATAGGTATGCATATCTGGCTGCTATTTTTTCACAGTGTGTCGAATTTCCGTTCTCATTTGTCTCGTGTGATTACATTAAAAGATAGTTTATTACATTTATAAATACTAAAAATGTTTAATTTAGTTTCTTCTAAACTCTGCTCTACAATTGCTAAGAGGCAGCCGAGGTCCGCATTATGGAGGGAGAGAGTTCGACAAATTTAGATCACCCAATTCATAAAAATACGCTCCAACCTAACACTTTCTGAATTCAAACTATTCTTTCTAAGCATTATATCATTTAGACTTATCTTGAACTCATTGTGAGCCCTAAGAAAGCCTTTTTTTTTTCAGTTCCTTTTTGGTTAGACCAGGCCCATGATGTAACAGCGAGAGGCAAGATAGATAATGTCTCCAGATTTGTTAGATTCGATCTTGGGTTTCCCAGGAAGGTAGGTTAGTGCCTCGACCATCTGACCAGAAACACAAATTCTTATAGTTTCCATTCAAGAAAAGCAATTTTATTGTTCATTTTGCATTTGGTGCACCGTAGCCATCCTCAATGTGGGTGAGGTGCCCCCGGGGGCCACGGAAGACCAAAGGAACGAAATAAATGAAAAATGGGAGTCACAGACAATTTAAAAGGAACAATTTCTTTACCAGAAATAGCGACAACAAAATCTAGCGGCGGTCATATTACGCCTAAGAATTTATATTACTCTAATACGGTTATCTTATGTGGTATATATTTTATGACCTTTGACACTAACTGAAATGAGGGCCTCACACAAAAATCCCAATAAAGGATTCACATGCAAGTTGGCAATTAAAAACAACAGAGATAAGAGCAGGCGACGCCTTCTCTACTTAACTCTGTTACAGTTTGACTGCCATTTAGTTAAGCAGTTTAGGTGGCAGCTTACCACTCTGGAGGACCTTTAATCGAATCTGGACTGGTTAAAAAAAAAACCCAGGAATTTTTTTGGGGTGGTCTGTCTGATATGTTAGGTCCATCCAACTATTAGTGTTCAGTGGTTTTATTTGGTAAATGGAGGCCAAAATGGGAAATTATTTTCAACTATTCAATAATATTTATACAGTAGTATCTGCACATATACAAATTATTTCGCCAAAAAATCGTAGCAGCTTTTTACGAAGTCGTCCAAATTTTCGCTGGTCGCAAATATGTTTAAAAAGTATCAAAAGGTGGGGAAAAATAGACCGATTTGCGATAAGTCGGCAACCCTGTCGACACGGCCAAGTAGAGATTGAAAAGGGTTACGTTATATTTTTTTAATTCAAGATGTTGTCCGCTAGGGGGTGTCGAGTAGTTTGTTTTGACAGCTGTTCTGCTTTACGTATGCAGGAGTAATGTTTTTCGAAATAATTCTCACCTGTGCTACAAATCCATATTTTCCTTCTAAAATTTTACTTTCTAGAAAATTTAACTTGTATCTAAAATATCCTTTGTCCATAGCATCTTCCCATTTCTGCTTCAACATCATATCAAACTGTAAGATAGGATAAATATTCATGAATTATCGCTGTTTTCTAGGTTCTTTTTTTTTTTTAATGAAATGTCATACTTTTGAATCAATTTTCCTAGAAGAATCCACTTCGAAATAAAAATCATCGTCGTCGTATCTAAATTCTAACGGCATGACTTCGACGAAAACACGTGACGTACTCGAGTTAACCGGAAATTACATCATAGATCGACAGTGCCGCCTGCACTTTAAAATATAAAAATTTTAAATGATATTTTTTTCGTTATGAAATTTACAAAATTAATAAACTTAATTTTAATTCGAGATAAATTATTCTATAAGAATGATACCAATTAATAAAATAAAATTGTAAAAAGATTTTTTTATAATACAGTATTTTAATACTGTATTTAAATTTTTATTCGTGCATTATATGAATATGAATTTTGCACGTGTCATTACCAAACAAGTGAGAAATTTGATAAGCGACACTTCCGAAAAGTCATGAAAACCTAATTTCTGTAGATAATGATTCAACACGGAAGGATGATATATCTTGGATCCGGTCGGCCATTACGAGCCAATTCGTTTATTCTTCAGTTTAATTAATAGCCAATCTGTTTTGACACAGAGAATTTATGTCATAGTTTACAAGCGCATTTCTATGGTTTCGGGGGCCGAACCCGCAGAAATGCGCTTGTGGATTTGGCCATAACCACATTAAAGCGGCCAAGTAGTGAGAGACGGGCCCGACATCTCCTTGAACGGATCATCCCAAAAAAATTCAAGGGTTTTCCGACCCGTCCGGATTTGTTCCGTGGCGTAATTTAACACCCTAACTGCTCGATCATCATAAAATAAGGATAATGTAACACCATCAAAATGGCCGCCAAGATGAATTATACATACTAAAATTTAAATTAATTTAAAACTTTACAAATTTTATTATTTTTTACATAAATTAATATAATTTTGTTTTATTTTATTCACATTTTCAACCTCATTTAAAAATGTTTTTTTTTCAAAATGAGTATTTTTATAACTTCCTCAAAGATCTGGCAACACTTTATATATTAGATTACACATTAAATAAACGCATTAAAATTTTACATTTTTTTTACATTTTATTAACAAAAATATTTCCCTATAAATTTAAAATACACCAATGATAATACACGACACGAATTTTAAAAAAATAATACGTATTCGGGACGAAACCGAAAGAATTTCTTTCGAAACTTTTATTGGTCGAAATAGTCACGTGATTGGAGAATCGTCCAATAATCTGCTATATGACAAGAGATGTGCTTCCTAATTTTAGATAGGAAGGAAATGCTTTACACGTGGTTAGCGTACATGGCGGAAAGATGGATTATATTTCGTTGAAAGCGTCGGCGAGAAACAAGCGAAGTCTTCCGTTTAAGGTCAATAGGAATCCAAAAAGGAATAAAATGATGTTCGCTGGTGATCCTCGTTTCTTACCCAGAGTTAAGCAGGTAAACAGATCGATGATTAAATGTCATATTGAAAAATGAGTCTGCATTCTTACGAAATTCTACTTTATTTATTCATTTTCTTATGCATAAAGCTTCGTTATATCCTTCTGAAATACTTACAGTCTTCACCACAAAGCTAATTAATTAATTACAGGCCGAATTACACGTTACCCTGACTGGCACTCGTTGCGCCGCCTGCTGATCTGCTTGATTTATTTTTCCATTTTTTAAAATAAATTACTTGTTTTTTTTTTTAATTATTTATAAATGAAACAGAATTTATACGATTGGAAACTTGATTTAAAATGGCTTAATTAAAATGTTTTGCTATATTTGAGACGAATATTGGTGAAGTTTTCTAATGGTAAGTGGCGCAATAAGCGCTAGTGTACTTTTCTATCTACAGCTGATTTATTATTATTTGAGTTGCATTAAAATGTTTTCTTTGTATTTTAATTATCTAAGAACAATGTTATGATCAATTGTAGTCGGGTTACCTAGCCAAATCAGTTTTCATGTCTGTAATGTATGACTTAAACCAAAGTGTTTTAATCCTGTGGTCCGTCGACTCTGCCTTTTCGCTTTAGATTTGTTATCGAGCTCCGACGGATGGCGCTAAGAACGGCGGTTGATGATCGCAAACCACGTGTAAGCACGCTCGCTAACTCGCCCTAATTTTACCTCCAATTAGAATTTATTTATAAGGCATTTGAGATTGCTTAAATCAACTGGTAAAGAAACAAAGAGAAGCTACACTAAGCAATAGTGTAACAGTATAATGACTGTTAAGTTTTATAATTTTCGTAAAATTGGGTAATGATTTATTGAACGTGCGGTGACTTTCGAGCATTTTTAGTAGTACTTTCGATTTTAAAACAGAAATTTTTCTCTCGAAGAAAATGGAGCTCGCAACATGTATATGAGAAAGCTTTACACAAGTTCAAAGATGATGCGCCGTGCCGTAGATAGCGTGTCCGTTTCGTCGAAATTAATTGCTACTCCGTTCGTAATTGCCCTATAGATTTTAATTGACTCCAAATATTTAAGAGGTGTGTTTTGCGTTTACGGACAATTTGCAAGCTGTTCGAGCAACCGTCATTCAAAACCTTGTTGATTATCATAAAGTATGTGTTTATCTGTTGTAAAGTACACAAAGATTTTGAAATAATGAATTATAAAAACAAGCAGTTTATGTAAATGCAATTATGACAGTGTGAAGAAGGGCTTTGTTGATGATAGCACCTAAAATTAAGCAAACTTACAGAGAAATGTTGTATGTATGCCGTCTATTGTATGGTTATATTTTTGTATAATGCTGCAGAACGATGAACTATAACACAGATATTAAAGTGACAATAACGGGAACTGTGCTAGGAATAAATATACAAGATAAATTTTTATAGTTATTATTTTAAAATAATATTAACTGTGTAATATTATGGCAGTTTTATCATCTTTATAATACTTAATAAATAACTACTATTGTACTTTTATGAGTTATTTATTGTAAAATTGCCATATGCACTGTCCTTAGTACTGTATAAATGATGTATTTATATAAAAAAACTAATCGAAAAGTAAGCAAATTCATAAAACAAGTAAAACAGCGAAGCCATTCTTGGAACGAGACTTATCTCTCGGAGATCGTGAACAATGCATGCGCAAATCTTGCACTCATACTTGTTTGTAGAAACAGTCTCACCATTTTATATTTTATTTTGACCCAGTTCTCAGTTCCCTGACTATCTACAAGTCTGGTTTTTTTATGTATGCATGACTTGGGCACTAAATACTTTGTGCCAAATTGCAACTCCTGACATGTATTCCTTCATACCTCTAAGGTGTCCAGCTGTTGACGGCAGTGCGATTTTAGAGAGTAGTTTCATTTACTTTTGACGAGACATAGTCTCGTCAAAAGTAAATGAAACTACTAAAAGAAATTAAGTGTTCGAAAAATGCAGGTAAAATTAATGCAAAATTCTGGTCTATCCATTCTTATTCAAAACACTGGTATATAGTATAATTTAAATATAATTAAAAAACATTCTCATAACGAAGAAGTTTAACAAACTTCTAGTCTTTGCGCCCTCTGGTCTACGTTATCGTTTGGTCGTATCAAAGCTGCTTTACCAGGCAACGCGTCCATATGCTAACAAATCAGTGCTAATGCCAGAATAAATTACTGTAATCAAAGTTAATTGGTCAATCGATATATAAATCTTATTTGTTAATTGGATAGATCAGGGGTGGCCAACCTTTTGCATACCATGCGCCAATTTTTTGATAGACGAGTTCAGATGCGCAGTGGCGTACCGTGGGTGTTAGCCGCCCGGGGCGGAGAAAAATTTCGGCCACCCTTTAATCAGGTATTTCAATTTAAAAGATCAAAATTCAGTTGTGTGAAAAAAAAATTAATAAAAAATGCGGTGGTGGTGTAGTTACCCGTACAAAATAGTCCCATTTGACATTAGTGGCATACACGATTGCGAATGTATCGTGAATCGTAGAAGCAAAAAAAAAAAAAAGGTCAACAGGTGTAGCAGTCCAACCGACTCGTGGACTGTCCGGACGGTAGCACTGTCATTTAGACGCCTATGCACTGATCGAAAATAAACATACATGCATACACTGTAATTTACTATGTGGAGAACACTCATTTTATCTGTAAAGCAACGAATTGTGCAACAAATGAACTTGCCAAGACAGACTATAAAAAATTAATTTTCTATGTAATATTCTTAATTGCAAAGAAGCCAAATCTGGCAATGTTGCTCAGAACTGACTAAAGCGCCACTTGTAATCGTCCAATGCGCCAAGTTTGGCGCATGCGCCACGGTTTGGCCACCCCTGGGATAGATGATCCTTTAAAGGAAATCCCAAAAATTATTGGAGTATTTGTGTAAATCCAATTCAAACTGATTTTTCTTGGAGATTCAGAAAATTAGAATTGTACTTTTGTGCATTGAGACATACCAGTACAGTCAAAAAGTCCAAGGACTAAGCATATTGTGAACAAATACATTTATTAAGCAAATTATTGTGCACGTCCATTTTTAAAGTAACGTCTTTTGGCCACGATGCACTATTGCAGGCATCCACACAACTGCTGGAAACATTGCCGAAAAGCATTTTCTGGAATTAGGTGTAAGGCCTTCTTCAATACATTGATAATCTCTATGGACGATTGGATCCACGATGATGTTTCGTACGGCCGGCCAGGATGCGTTGTGGCCGAAGGGCATTACTTTGAAAATGGAATGCGCTTAATAATTAACTTAATAAATTTATTTTTCATAATGTTCTTAGTCCTTAAACTTTTTGACTCTACTTGTAAAAAGTTACATATTCCAGCAGGTTATTCTACTAAAAACAAAAGATGTATTATTAGGAACCAACAAGAGAAACAAAGATATAGAGACAGTGCTAGATCATTATTAAAACACATGCAGTCTCTTTATCTGTGATGCAAAAGTTTATTGTGTCCTTTGCTTTGTTTGTTTGTTTGGTTGTTCTGGTACAAGTGGAAGTGTGATTATTATCGAATGCCTCCTCTTTTTAATTCATAATGAATTCATAGTCCAAAAGCACTAATATTATAGAAACCAAAACGCTAGTTTTTTGCTCCAAGTAGGTGATTTTGAATTGATTTATCTGAGGGAATCGTGTAGTAGATGTATATAATTAAATATGTTTATTGTGTGCTTAAAAATCTGCATTTGTTTTTGATGGTTAGTATTGGTTGATGTAAATATGCAACATACCAAAAAATAATTCAAATTATTATTGTTTTTGGTGTAAGATATCTTCCGTTGATAAGTTAATGTGTCAAGCTATTTATTTTTGTTTCTTAACTAGTCGAGTTATTCGGCTTTAGTCGGGAAAATGATATACTAAATAAAGTTAATGTAGGCCCAAAATTCTGATACGTGTGGGTTTGGTTCGTTTGAATAAATTTGAAACATATCGGCAATTTTTGTGTGGCACGACACAACTGTGCAGCAGAGAAATGAGAGAATTCTCTGTAGGATTTTTGCTCGGCATTGCATTGCCGAGCCAAATTGATTTTATCCATCAAAGTAACACGTTCTGTGTTTGAAAAATAATAGCGTCTAATAGACATTATAATTGGAGTTGCTGCTAATAGTCTTTTCTTTGTTCGATGGCCAGATAGCTGAACGGTTAAGATGGCAGTCTACCGCTCTGGGGAACCAGGACCAAATTCGAAATGTCATGAACTTTTTGGGGATGGTCCATCTTGATGTGTCGGCCCTTGTCTCTTACTGCCCAGCCACTCCAGTGTGGGCCTGGCTGAATGCATAATGTCTTACTAAAATGATCTTCTATGTCCACGGGACAGAAAGAGTTAAAAAGGAAAGTCTTTCTTTGTTGTTCTAAGTCAAATTTTCTGGGTTGGCAAACTTTTTAACAAAAATTTCAGAATTGTTCTCTGCTAATTTTGGCACTTGCCGAGATTTTTAAAATTAATAACAGAAATGGAAAATTATTGCTTATGTTCTTGCAATTGCTCAGTTTATGTAAATTTGACACTTAATTCGCCTAAATTTTATACCCACTGCTAGCTGTATTCACAGTATCGGCGGGTCTACATTTGTCTTGGTATCTGCCACAGCTTTGTCGTCGTAATTCTTCTACGTAAGGAACGACGACAAAGCTAACAGAATTTATTAAGAGACTATGATTGTAATCATTGTCTGTGTTAATTAATGAATTATCGAGTAAATCTTATACAAATGATCGAGAACATAAGGTAACATAATGTTATGGTAGGTGACGAATGTACCATATATTGGAGTTGATAGTCATACGTTTGTTTGTAACAATAACAAATCGACAAATCTTATATTTTTCTTCCAGTTGTTGTTTGCCCGAAAGCACTCTAGCGTCGTGGACGTGGACAAACTGGTGGCCGACCTGCAGCAGACGTATCCGGAGTATCGAAGAAAAAAGCATTCGGCTTTTCGGAGGGCTGTCGATTCGGGTAATTTTTTATTTGCACAAACTTAATTTTAAGATTTCAAAAAATATTTTCGTTAAATGGAATTGCTTTTTTACAGCAATCGATAAAATAGAAGAGGAGACGGAAACGAGTAAGAGCTGCGTCGGAGAGAAGGGAGAGGGAAGTATTCGAAGCGGTGGTTCCGATCAGTTGCCGGATAGCGATTTTTCCCCCGATAATGAAAATTATGTAGTTTACGAGGTTACTGTTGTTGTTATTTTGGCAATTACTAGTTTTTAATTTTGTAATTTAATAAGTTTATTTATTTTTTATTTTTATTTTTCCTAAAACATAATAAATACCTTTCATACTATTCTAGGTGAAAACTCTAGTGCTTTTGTATTATAAGCTCATTGATGAGAGCAACAAGAGAAATAAAGATTGAGAAAAATTTCAGATTGACACTGTGTGAATTGCTTTTAGTTAATTCCTTGATCTTTATCTCTTAACTCCTTACGAAAATGTAGCTCTAAAGCACTAGAGTGCACTAAAATAGTTTGAATCGAATTTACATTCGAGGAATTTCTTAATAAGTGCGCTAAGATATAGTTTTTACGTTTCGGAGAATTGTATAGTCGAGGCACATTTTTTACCACTCATGTACGTTGTACAGTATTAAAATGTATGTAATTCACAATATAATGCTTTTATGAAAGCTTTTCTTAATGCGTACAATCATCTTTTGGAATTGCAACAAGTTTAATGTTAATTTTTTGTTATGGCTTTCACTACTTGAAACTGCTAGGTAATTCTGTAATATAAGAAGCTCTCATTAAAGCATTGTATGCGAGTTGTTTAATTATTAAACAAAATAATCATATATTAGATGGGTACATTCAAAAAAGATGGAGATTATTATGTTGCATCTCTCACGGGGTGTTTTATAATTTAAACAATTGCAAAGGAATTGAATAAGAACGTTTCCCTGCACTTCTAATTTGTGTAGTTGCGGAAATTTCTTTGTGCGCACAAATCTCCGGAATTCAAAGGAAATGCTTGTATCTTAGCATTAATAAATCAAGGACTTGTCAATAGAATTTTAAGTCAGTCATAAATTCGCTTATGTAGAAAGAAAGTGACAAAATTAGAGAGACGGATCGACGAGGACGAGGTCACCCCTCGTAACCTGCAAAACTGTAGCCATCAATGTTTGTAGTAGAGTTACCGTTTTTCATTTAAAAATAAATGACGTTTTAACAGATTTTTTTCCTTAATATGGTAGGATACAAATATGGTGAACAAATCGATCACGGACTTATATCGAAGATCTCCGGCGAGATCGTTGGACAGTCACATGACCAAGCGCTCCACCACGCCTAAAGAGAGCTCTCACAGGAGAATAGTGGAAGGCGAGTCTGCCGGTTCCACTCCGAACGTTCCGGTGGTCGTCGGAATGGAGGACGAAAAGTGCATGAAAAATTACGCTTCTAGAACTACTCTGAGCGAAGAAGAGGTAATAACGTTTAATATATTTGAGAAATTGGTATATTAAATTTAAAAAATTTCACAAAAATCTTTAATACACAGACAGTACTTTAATTGCCAACATATACATAATACAAAACTCTTCAGATCATGTGAAATTGGCTAAATTTTCTTATATTTTTTCTAAAGCAACAATATTAATTCTGGCAGGTAAGCGGAAGGAATGTCGACACTAACTGATGTAATTTAGTACGCTATGTACGCAGTCTGATAATTATATAGCGAGACTGATTTTATTTTCACCGAGATTGCTTCATAGGTGATGATTCTATTTGTCTTCCTTATTGTCAACCTTTATCTATAATTTGGCAATGGTGCACATCCTACACTAAGTGTGACGGGAAATATGGCATCACATTGTCATACTAGCAGCGTGGAGTAGAGTGTGAATATTAAATTCTGTTTTAAACTTGGGGAAAAGTGCAGGTGAAACTGTAGAATTGATGAGATGGATGTGTAGGGATAATTGTTTATCTCGTGCACGAATATTTGGGTGTTATACACAATACAAAAGTGGTGTAGAAATGAAGGAAGACAAAGCCAGGACCTGGCATACAATTTCTGTTTGTAATAAGGAATTTGTTGCGAAGGTGAGAGAATGCGTAGAAGAAGATTGTCACATGAGTTTGAGTGTGTACAGAAGAGGATTCACCACACTTGACCCGGCTATTTAGTACTGGGCAGTTGGTTCCTTCTTCACGATAATGCATGGGTTCACCAGGCAGTAACCATACAGGAATTTTTGGTTACAAAAACCAGTTTGTGCACTCGGTCATCTGCCCTACTCCCAGATTTTCGCTTGTGAATATTTTTTCTTCCCCACCATCAAGAGGGTACCTCTTTAAAGGTGTATAGAGTTGTGACATCAAGTCATTGGGCCATACCACAAGATGTCAAAGATCATTTCAATCTTTACTAGATTGTGCCACTCTCTGTATTGATACAGGAGGGATGTACTTTGAATAAAATACAGGTTATACTCAAGCCTTACGTTTTAGAATAAAGTTGAAACAAAAGTGTCATTGTATAATTATCAGATTGTGTATATAGTTCAGATTAGAAAACTAGTCGACAGTAACTGTTAACTAGGTTTCCCTTAAGTGTATGAAGTATAGTATTTCTGTCGAGATATCAAAACTGACAATATCTATAATTGACACTAAATTGGATTTAACCAATCATTTCTTCCTTTTTTAAATGCTTTTCCTAAGTCTGCAACTGCAGGTATATTTTGACTTTACTCATGTTTTCTTCTTTTTATGATTTCTTTATTCTGGCCCTTAATTGGTTTCATACAAATACAGGTTCTCTTCTTCTTTCTATCCTGTTGATCTCGGAAAGATTGACAGGCTCTTCTGCAGAAAAATATCTTTACTCTTTCTCGTCGGATCCTTTCTTTGTGACGAATGCTCCTTTTTGTATTCATTGCTAAACCGAACGAAGATATTCTCTTCGTTTCTCAAGAGGCCACTTTACTTCCCGACCGTATCCGAGTATATATAAAATTATGAACAGTGGTGTTGTTGTCGACTAAAACAATAATTGAGTTATAAATATAAAGACTTTTATTAATATACAAACAAAGCAGTTGAAGTGAGTGTTTGTAATTGAAGTGCCCATACTTAGCACTGTCCAGGAGAGAGATTTAACAGGTCAAATAGATGCAAATTTTGTAATGTTTACACTGTTGTGGAAAATTTTCTAATAAAATCTCTCGACGATGGCACCCCTCTGGGCAATATTCTGATAACGTAAAGATTTTTGTATTCGATGCATTTTTATTATTATTTATTGACAATATAACAATGTTATGGTGAATAAATAATAATAAACAATGTATCCATGGGAGTATTGGTTGGTTTTGCCTTGGTTTTGATTGCCAAGCAGACAGACAAGTTCTGTTATTTTTTGACTGATCCACATACATATTTAATAATAATATATATCCTTAGATATTAATGCAAAATATTGTGTGGGAACGGTATCGCGGAAGACGGGGTTCTAATTGAGATGCGATCGTCACCAGCCGAAATAAACCGTAAAAACAGTTTTATAATTATCACATTTTTACAGGTGATTAAAAGTAGTATCGGCAATAGAAGACCGTTGCGCACTTCCGAAAGCATCATCAGTAAAAAGCTGGCCGGAAAAAAGAAAGGTAAATTTTATTTTTTTGATTTTAATTATAGTTGATACTAGAATGATTATAGTGTCGCTATTATAAAAAGTTTTGAACGAGGACGGTATTGTGTCAAATTGATTTGACGAGTTACCACGGCATCATCGAAATATTTCCATATATAATTGAAATATTTTCATTAGATTTATAATCACTGTTCTTTTTGTACATTAGTTTTGGATACAACAATTATTTATGTATTCTCCGAAATCTAATCTTTAAACTTTGTTATTTTCGTGTGCGCTACATAAAGGTCACGATTCGAAACACGAGTGATATTGAATATACATAGTAAATGTACATTTTGGTAAACAATATTAAGAAATGAGGATGGACAATGTGAAGCTATTAGGTACTAGCGATAGATTATTGTGTAACCAGTAAGAATTCATCAGGCGTGCAACATTTGTTATTACATATATAACAGCTGGGAAAGTAACAGAGGGAAAATATGGCAATTGGTCAACAAATGACCCCCAAAATTTTTTCTAATTGGTGGATATTTGTATCAAAGAAAATTGTTTCTAGGAGACTAGAAGAAGAAAATTCTAGAATGCTCTTCTAAAGACACATGGAATACAATGTATAGAGTATTTGAAATTAAAAGGAATGCTTGACATCATGAATTCTTCTTCATTTTAATTAATAAGTAGCCAATATAATGCCTTTTCATCAAATACAGATCATGACGTAGATATAATTATCTCAGGATAAATAAAGATTTTACCACAAAAATATTTTTTTGCTTGGTAGATGAATGAGAAGACGAGCCTAGAGAATCTAAAAGAACTGCTATTATTTTGTCTCCAGAATCTGATGAGGAAAATTTACTTTGATGAATGCCATATGAAGTGTCAGGAGAACTAGAAGTGTTAGTGCTCAGACTGATAATCAGAGTGATAGTGAAGAACCTTTAGAATCTGCTGCCAAGCAAAGACGTAGTAATTTGCCTAAACGGAGGAAATCCTAAGATGTTGCACTTACCTTAAATGTTATGAAACCGGATAAAGTAAGGAAAGAACGCACAAAAATCCCGTTCAAATATCTCAAATTATCGATGAACTATGAGAGCAAACATGTCCTTACGCAAATCACGACAAGAATGATCCAAACTTTGGGGTATCCGAACAAGAAATTTGGCACAAATGGGGTATTGTGACGCTCCTAAGGGATCCAATCATACAAGGAGTCAGTCACTGTTTGAGAAGTTGCTTTATTGTCCTTTGATTTTTGTCAAAGATGCACTTCAGGCTCAAGCTCCTCATCAGTTTGACCTGATTTGACATCAGAATTATTAAATATTTTCTGATATCGAATCAGGTTAAACTGATGAGGGACTTGAACTCGAAATGCATCTTTGACAAAACCAAAGGACAATAAAGCAACTTTTCAAACAGTGAGTGACGCCTTGTATGATTGGATCCCTTAAGAGCATCACGATATTTGTGTATACACTCAATTTAGTATATTAAGATTTTATTACTTATTAAAAAAATTACGCAGATTTGGAGTTGTTGCTCATTAGTACTTTCCTTGCCCACTGAAAATGACTACCGGTCAACTACCGAGGATCTTTCGGCTCCTCTCGGCTCATAATATTGCCAAAAATAGAGGTTTTGCAGTATAAAAAGATACTTCCATATTGACCCAATTTTTGGTTGTCAACATTCGAAAGTTACAAAGGTGCTTCACCTTTATGGATATTTTGACTGTTCAGTTTCAACAATTTGGCCTCTTCTGTCAATATTTGTGTACTGATGAAGAAATAGTACCTTACCATGAACACCAATCAGCTAAAATATTAAAAACAAATCTATAAAGTTTGGATGTTGCGTGGAGTTGACGGATATCCACCCGTATAATATGCAAGTTTATTGTGGAAAAAGCAATGATGAAAATACTCCTTTGGGAAGTCAAGTAATGTGCAGTTTGTTGGATGCAGTGTGCATTCCAGATTCAAGCTTTGTTTTCTATGATAATTTTTTCACTAATATATTATAAAAAGTAGCCTAAATAACTAAAATTTGTTGCATAGTATTCTTTTTAAAAAAGATTTATTAGGCTTAATTGTATAATACAGAAGGTCAGTCCACGTATGTGCGGTCCAAGTTTGAACAGTCACTCTGCTCACAGATTGGACCAAACTGAATGGTTAAAAGCACAGGAGAAAGCCAGAAGCCTGTAGTATTGGGACACTATTGAAAGTGTGTTGTGTGCATCATGGCTTCGAAGGTGAACTGGTTTTGGGAGGGCTATGTAGTTGCACATAGCCCTCCCATGCAAAATATTCAATGTCTCAAATTCAAAAACAGTTCAAAGAATGTGGATGCACGTTGGGTTCGACAACTATCAAGAACATAATTAATCGGCATAAAAACCAAGAGGTGCCAGCGATTTGATCACCCACAAAGGGGACTAGGAAGCGAGCATGCACTGCAACGATGCCACCTGTGTGTCAGAGATTGCATCAAATGACATTCCAGGAAAACCCCCTACACAACATGTATGACTGCATGTGGCATAGTCAACTGTAAACTGCACCCTGCGTGAAAAGTTAAACCTTTGGAAGGTCTTCAGAAGTTGTGAACGTTACCAAAGTGAGGTCCATTGGCGTGAGAGAAAGACAACAGCAGACACTTCTACAAATGCCATTTATGGATGAGGCATGGATGTACCTATCAGATTGTTGCAAAATTTGAGCCCTGACATACACCTCATGCGATGCAAAATCCCATCTCCAGTTTATCCATCATTGAAAACCAACTTTCTTGAAGGGATTTCTGGTTGTTGAGGGATGCTGCTATCAAGGCAAGTTAACTATTTGTCAGGTCCCTAAAAACTGTAAAATCAACTACGCCTTCTTTCAGCAACATATCCTTGTTTATATGGAAATGCCACCAATCAAGTTTGGGTGCATGTGGATAAGGCTTCATCACATGAGTCTCATTCCACCTGTAACTTAATGCAACAGATGGCACAAGACACTGGCATTCAGGCTATTCCATTTCACGATATACCAGCAAAGTCACCCAGATGCAAGTCCTATAGATTTCAGTGCACTTTCCTCTTATTGTGTCACCACTCTTTGGGGCCTGTCAGGAGGAATGGCAGAGGATTTCACTTCCTGTAGTTCATCATAGCTTCTTACAATGGAAGTTATGGTACAGGGATATTGTCAAGACACGTGGTGCTTAGATTGAGGCCAACCGATGGTGGTCCTGTGTATTTTCATAAGGTAGGTGCTAGTTTAAACTTGTACACGTGTATGCGGATCAACCTTCTGTAAAAGTATATATTCTTAGTACGTGGACAGTAAATGCTGCAAAAATGGGAATGTTGGCAATTTCATTCATATTCATGAAATTATTTTTACAGTTTCCACAAAATCGTAATGACTAAGTCCTAAAGAGTAACATGTTATAAAATAACTTCAGTAACCAGATACTTAACTGGTCATTAAAACGTTAATAAGGGGATGCTTATAGGAGCTTGTGCTGTCAGTGCATTGTTAAGGGTTGTATAATTGTGGTATATAAGAAATGGTTTCAACTTAAGGGCGATTGCAAGATGATGAGCTTGGTTGAAGTGCCATATAATATGATGTATAGATTCAGAAGAGGTAATGCTATTATCTACTGTTACAGTGCACAAAGATGTCTTGGTAGATCCAGATAAGGTTTTATATATCTTTCTACAATGTAAAAAGAGGGCTTGTGAAATCTAAAACCACCTTGTTTGAAGATGTGAATACTTCTAAGGGATCCAATCATGCAAGGAGTCACTCACTGTTTGAGAAGTTGCTTTATTGTCCTTTGATTTTTGTCAAAGATGCACTTCAGGCTCAAGCTCCTCATCAGTTTGACCTGNAATGGTTTCAACTTAAGGGCGATTGCAAGATGATGAGCTTGGTTGAAGTGCCATATAATATGACATATAGATTCAGAAGAGGTAATGCTATTATCTACTGTTACACAGTGCACAAAGATGTCTTGGTAGATCCAGATAAGGTTTTATATATCTTTCTACAATGTAAAAAGAGGTCTTGTGAAATCTAAAACCACCTTGTTTGAAGATGTGAATACTTGCAAATACATACAGCTGCAATCTGTAGACTCTCCAGTGCAGAGATCATGTATAGGAGAGTCTACAGATATCATTTACCTTATACCGTGATCCCTACAGGATAGAAGATACATGTTGCAGAGTAGCCTTCGGTATGGGATCAAAATTTTTTAGGAGTTGTAATTCTTACGGGCAGTTCTGCAAATGTATGTATTGTATTGTTGAATTAAAAATTGTCTTAATCGATGTACGTTGGACGTCCTTTGTTAGACGTCTTGCAATTGTTCTCGAAAGTGCCGATTTGTTTTTTATCTTATAATATAATCGAGATGATTTGATGATGATAATAAGCGCAGAGCCCAAACAGGAGTTTAAAGTTGAAATTTGGTATACAGTTAGGGTACGTCACGAGAATGTACACTAAGAAGGAATTTTTCGAAATTCCCCTCTGCAGGGAAGAGGGAGAGGGTTAAGGATTACCCCGAAGAACTCTGCTTCTACCGTACTATTTTCGATGACATTTTTTTGCATATTTGCAGAAAATCGAATATATTTTTAGACCCTTCTAAAAATTCTCAATGATATTTAGTGTTCCATTGTATTTAAAGTTGACACGAGGAGCGCATGTGCATAAGTTTGCTTTATTTGAACTCTTTGTCTTAGTGTTCGATTTTATGTTTAAATTTATATTTATGAATGATTCGGGAGGATCCAGCTTATTTTTAGAATAACCTGAAGAACCCAGAAAGGGTTATGAAAACATTTGTTATTCATCACTTAGTGGTACTATGCACTAGTTAGTGGTTGCAGTGAGTCTAAATTATCATTATCCCGGTGTGGTAAGCAGATATGTAAAAATTCTCTAGTCTCGAAAGAGAGGAGACCTAATTCTTGCAAGTAAGAAAATGGGTAAGATCAGATATAATTTAATCATCATAATCTTTGCTATCGTTACTTTTTGTCCGAGCAATGCCGGGCTCATTTGTTAGTAAAATATATTAAATTAAGAATTAAAAAATTTTTAACAGTGTGTATATTTTGGGTAGTCTATAGAGAATTGTGTGCGATGATGCAAAATCCAGTCGTCGGCACTACTTGAAAAGCCATTATAATTATGCGTCCTCCTCATCTGTCTTGGGAAAGTAAGAAACTAAACACTAAAATATGATTTCTAAGATGTATCTTACACTTCCAGATAGTAATAAATTACATCCGAAAAGTAATGTGCGTGCAATTTATCAAAAATTTCCAGCATCCATAAGACGGAAAATCACATCAGTTACCAGCAAAATTATTAAGATGTGCCTATTTAGTAAGAATAAAGTTTAAACACAAATTTTAAAAATATTTTGTACTTTGCTTTTAATTATTAAGTCAAAAAATATAACTTTTTTTTATAGAATTACAAATGATTGTATTTTTTTGCAGATGCAATTCTTCAGCAACCTGGAATAACATTTTCAGATATCGGAGGAATAGAGCCTATGTTACAGGTAAGTAAGAATATGTTAAAATTAATAATCTTCGACCACTTTAATCTTATTAAATCGGGTTGATTATTTCTCGGAGATCACACTATCCAGGTTAGTGACGTATAATTTTTACTGTGGTAACCTTTCAATATTACATATGCATTTCGGGCTAATGTATTATCTTAGACCCTCTTCGGCACTGTTTAAACAATATTACAATAATTATAATATGATACACAATATAAAGTGCAATAACATAGTTAATTACGTATGAGAGTAATTACAACACAGAACTACCGGCGAACAACTTAAGAAATGAAATACAGTCGAATCCCCCATAACACTATAGATAATTCCGTGTTATATGAATTCCATGTTGTACGAGTCAGTCAGATTTTACAAATGTGTGTGCCAGGCTGTGAACGGCTCACGTATTTGTAAAATCTAAGTGACTCGTACAACATGGAATTCATATAAAACGGAATTATCAACAGTGTTATAGGAGGGTCAACTGTATAAGCATACACACACACAAATTGTTGTTCTGGAAAATCATCGAACAGTACTTTTAAAAAATATGTACTGTAATTTATTACAATTACATTGAGAAATGAGCAGAAGTGGACACCATAGTATAAACTTCCATCAAAAAGACACTAAACAATTATAATGTTGTTGGGATATGAACAAAAGTGCACTACGTGTGTTATCCTGTTAATTATTAAATGCAATTGATTAAAATCCCAAAAATTCTCTCTACAGTAACTACTATTTTTACATTCATAAACACACTGTCGACTATGATCTCACCGTTAAAATTTAAATATTAAACCTACAATAACATCAATAAAAAATACTAATTTTTTCAAAATATATTTTTTAAGGAATAGGAATGTGATACAGTATTATAATTTAAAATCTAAAACAAAATTGTATTCCCACTTATTTTCTATTAAAGTCTACCTTGGCTCACGTCTATTATAATCTATACTCTATTAGTATTAATATTGATAACAGCTGGTTCGAACTATCAGAAATGTTCACAATTTCATCTTTGGGGTGTTTTTTAATTTCTGTGTGTTGCTTAAATTTACATTTATAAATGTCTTTTTTTCATATGTAGAATTTTAATTTTATTTCTGTTAATTCTACGGCTATTTAAATCCGAATGCTCTTACCGAGGTGATTGAGGATACTTAAGACGTATCGCCGTTTCGTATTCTCTAACTCTCTTCGAGAGCGTGACCCGTTTCACCAATATAAAATTTTGGTTCAATACATATACTGTACATACCAACTTGTATACAGTACCTTCATATTATCATTAATTTTCTTATATTTTGATATTTTATTTGTCAAAGATGGGGCCAAACATACTTTATTCTGTTTAAGAATAGTTACATTTTTCAAAAGTATTTCTAATATATGGAAAATAATAATATCTGTGTTCTTGTTTATATTATTTCATGTTAATTTTCCTTATTTTTCCATTTCCATATCAAACTGTAAAATCACTATTAATGTGAACAAGCAAATAACTTTTTGAATTATCTCACATTTATTAAATAATCGTCTGCGTATCTAACACACAATTTGGTCGATATTTTTCTTTCTCCTTATGTTATGTGTTTTAAACCTGATATTCAATTTAGCTTGAATTTGATGATTTGCCAGAACAACAATTGAAGTGTGCTTATGCTTATACTCATTTCTTAAGTTGTGTGCCAGTGGATCCGTGTTATAGTTACTCTCACACAATATAAAGTACAATAACATATATCACATTATAATTATTGCAATATTGCTTAAACAGTGCTAAAGAGGGGCTAAGATAATACATTAGCCCAAAATGAATATGTAACCAGGATGGTGTGAGCTGTGAGAAATAATCAACCTGATTAACAGGATTAAAGATGATGATAATGTTAATTTTAAAAAATACTTTTATGTTTACATGTTTTACAGGAGATTTGTAAATTGTTGGTTCACATGAAACATCCCGAGGTTTATCAGCGACTTGGGGTGACTCCGCCCCGCGGTTTTCTGTTGCACGGTCCTCCGGGTTGCGGCAAAACTTTGTTGGCCCATGCCATTGCCGGGGTAGGGATACGCGCATTTTAAACAAAATATTTTTCCTTAATTTTTTTAATTGAAAAAATAATTTTATTTCAGCAACTAGAGCTTCCGTTCATAAAAATTGCAGCTACGGAAGTGGTGTCCGGAGTCTCCGGAGAGTCCGAGGAAAAAATAAGAGATCTGTTTGACAAGGCAGTCAATAGCGCTCCTTGCATTCTTTTTATTGACGAAATCGATGCCATAACACCCAAGCGAGAGACCGCGCAGAGAGAGATGGAAAGACGTATAGTGGCACAACTTTTAACGTGCATGGACGGTAAGAAAGTTAATTGTATTGTTTTTTGTACTACGAAGTATTGTATTGGGTTGTTTGGAAAGTAAATTTATTGTTTTTTTTTTCCGTAGGAAAAAAAATTTTCTTACAATATATAAATAATTTATTGAGCATTTTGATCTGATACCTGTTGCCATCTTTCTGGTAGTAGCATGATCAAACTGTTTTACAAATAAAATGTCAGCCATCAAAATATATAATGAAGTTGGTGGGTAAAAGAAACAAAATTACTTTCCGAACAACCCAATAATTACCTAAGATTTACGTTAACCCCATCGATGTCTGGTATTGTGGGAATGTTATGACGACATTGCCCAAGTGCGGATACGAAGCCACGTCTGGGAAAACCCTTCTGCCCACTGTTTGGCCAGAAACTGCCATTACAGGCAATGCTGCCAATCATAAAATCTGAAAATACTTTGGTCTAGATCAGAGGTCGACAAAGTGGTTGATATTGACCCCCAGGGGTCGATGCAGCTAAGGGGTCACAAGGCTTTGGAAAGTGGTTGGGGGTCGACGGTTAAAAAAGTTTGGCGACCCCGGTGTAGATAGCAAAAAACCACAATATATTTACATTTTAATCATGGATTAAAAATCCCCAATCTGAGTTTTAATACTTTGATGTAGTACATTTATTACCTGATTCACATAGTATTTAATTAATGTTATTCACAGCTATTCTGTTCTTCCAATAATATTACTGCACACCGAAGGTATAAGAAGCAACAAGTAAACTTCTTGTACTGCATTTGTATTTAGTTGTTTAGCTAGTAACCTGTTTTTTGTCAATTCAATAGTTAAATAATTTCACAAAGTAACAGGTTCTCGACACAGGCCGAAGGAATGTGGAAGAATTATCTATCTATCTTTTCAGCAATATTAGCTATTATATTAATAAATAAACATTTGTATGATCTGGAGTTTTTAGGAATTAGTAGTTCAGACTCAGTTAAAGATGATATAATTTTTTTTGTTTTTTATTGTTAAGTTGCAACACGTTTTTGATATTATTGTTAACTCTTTATTTATACACATAAGTTGTTAAAAGTTCAAATTCAAATGGATTTCAAACTATTGGTTCCATTGGAACGAACAACGTTAAAGCCTGAAGATGGCCTATACAAATAGGCTGAATACATTAGAATAAAGAAAATTAACTTGGCAAATACAAATCAGGTGTGTTTATTTATTAATATAATAGTGGAAGAATGTCATAAATTGAGATAGTATTCCAGAATATTGGTTCGGGCAACTGTTAATATTCTCTATTATAATATGACCAAATCTTTTGCTAAAGGAAATGGTGATCATTTTCCGCAATTAACACTGGGAAGTGAACTGCCAAACTTACAAGAGGTCACGTGCTACTAATGATTCTAGCACTTGCAGCTTAGCAATGCCATTTGGGTCTAATGAAAATCTCATCTAGATTTACTCTCAAAAATAAAATCAAGTTTTATCTATAGATTTTTAGTAGTCCTCTTTAAATCGTGTGGCACTGCTGGTTGAAAGAAGCTCATTTTCTAAAAAGGATTTCTTGATGGAAGAACAACGTATTTCCTGCACATTTTGAGTCAATTTCAGACAAATCAGTAGTTAGTAGTTGATAAATGTACTTAAAATATCATGATACTCTGTTTGAAATTTAGGTCTGCATGCTTTCATCAGAACATTTTTAACACACAGATTAGCTTTCCCATAGTATGTTTTGTTCCTTTGTTCACTAGTGTACCATATATATTTCTGGTACTGTCGATTTTGTCTTTTTGCATCTCCGAAAATAATGTTGGTGGCTTTCTTGTGATAATTTTGGTATTTTATGTTGACTTCTGTTAACTGCTTGATCATTTCTAAAAAATATTAAGATACGAAAGAAGTGTTTTCACAGCATGACTGCTGCAAATGCAATCAATAGCAAAAATTTATGGAAAATCTTGTTTCAATAACGTAAACAGTCAATAACAAAACTGAGCTCCCGAAGCACGGTAGTCACTGGCAAATCTAATCAATGTTCTGTAACAATTCCTTTTTTTCTTGAAAAATTGATTTGACGGAACAGGTCGGGTCTGAAAAACTGTTCCGTCTTTCACCAATACAGTGTCATAAAGAACAACTTTTGCGTTGTTTTTTTTACGACCAAAGAAAAACTCTAGCCAAAGTTTATGAAACTGAAATATCAGTTATTTTGACAAGTATCATTGTGACTTGCAGGTCTATCTTGTTTTCATCTTGTTTGACAAAATCAATTTAAAAAAGATACAAATGTATAGCCACGGAGTTAACAAGATAATGTCAACACCCATAATGTCGCTCGAGTACGAGGTCATATCCAGTAACAAATATCAATAACTATATGCAAGTGAACGATGACAAATGTTTATCTAAATATAATTTGATAATACTGTACAGTGGTGCCTCGTATAACGGACTTTCCATTCAGCAGTTACGTGAGGCGACCAGTGGACTTTCTATGAACAAGTGCGAATGATGTTTCCACTCTTTTGCCGTTGCCAATGACGATATGTTATTTTTATAATTATATTATACTGATAAAATATTCTAATAATACTATCTGAAGTACAGAGCGTTGGGATTCGGCTTGCTCCCTTGTTTATTAGGTACATGAACACAGTGCAGGGTATTTACATTTATTCAAGTGTTGTGCAAATCATGGCTTCAAAAAAACAGAAAAGTGATTTCAATTGAAACAATGCAAGAAATCATCAGAAGGAGTGAAAATTGACAAAAACTTCCTTGTTGAATGGGGAGAGGTTCAGGAGTTTACCAACATTCATTATCCAAACAGAGCTGAGGCCAACAGGATCAATGATCTCTACAATGACACTCTTGCCCGTCATTTCCAACAGGTGTTGAAGAAGAGAGAGAAACAGACCACCATGGACATGTTTTTCAAGAAGCCAGCAGGGAAAAAACAAAGGATGGAACAAGAGAGGCTACCGGAGCTTGCGGGGTCGAGTTGACCCTGCAAGCTCTGGTAGCCTCTCCTGAATCTGAATCCGATTAAAAAACAATAAAAAGAAAGACCCGCTGCAATGTGTAAAAAGTCTGTATCTGTATGAATGTGTGAAAAAAGTGTTCCTCCACCTCCTCCTCACAACATTTGACTACCCAGCATAATTGGTGACTGCTCCATTTTCATTTTTTTATGGTACAGTACAGTTATTTTATGCTGCGGAACGAATTATATGTTTTAACATGTATTTCTATGGGAAAATGCGTTTCGTATAATGGACTATTCACTTAACGGACGTGCACCTGGAACGGATTAAGTATGTTATACGAGGCACCACTGTATATTGAAGCCTACATTGTACATTCCAAAATTACTAAAATTTCTGGCTTTAGCCAGTTTTGATATTTTAATGATGCATTTTATGTATATCATCTTTCTAGAATAATTCCAAAATTTTCAATTGATACAAACTGAATGTTTCTAGTTTTCTTCAAAGTTTTAAATGGTAGTCAAATTTTGTCTGCATTAGAATACAATGCCACGTAGATGAAATTCAATTAAAAATCACCAAATTATCTGTTTCTATAATTGTGATAAGATTCCAGTAAATCTCTCACTTCATATTGGTTTATTAATTTTCAGAATTAAATCAGAAGCACGGCAGCGCTCAAGTGCTAGTTATTGGAGCGACAAACAGACCGGATGCTCTGGATCCCGCTCTCCGCAGGGCTGGCCGGTTCGACCGAGAAATCTGTCTGGGAATTCCCGACGAAGATTCGAGGAACAGGTAATATTCGACGTCTTAAGAATATTCTCCGATGCTTTGAGAATCGAATGCCAAGAACTTATTTTCAGAATATTGAGGGTGTTGTGCCGACAGTTGAAGTTGGAATCCGGTTTCGACTTTCAGTGGTTGGCCAAACGTTGTCCCGGGTTTGTCGGAGCGGATCTCATGGCCCTGACGAGAGAAGCGGCAACTGTTGCTATAAACAGGTATACCTTAATGAAAAAGGAATAATATTATAGTTAATTTATTCTTAATCCTTAACTTAATTTCAATTTATTTTTTCATAATTCAAATTTATTTACTATGTATGAAATATATGTATAATTGCCCATGCAAAATTTCTCGACTAAGCGGAATCCACTATATATGTATTTATAATTGGGACTCCCGCTTTATTGGGCCAAATCTCAAAGAATGGAAACCAAACTAATAAATTATTACATAATTTAATCGAGATGACAGCAGAAAAGGAGGAATTTAACAATTTTTGATATATTTTAGTAATCTTCTGATAATATGTAGGCCTAATGATTGACAGAGACAAAGCGATTTTGTCTCGCTCTGGCAGTTTGGTTTTTCCAGAGGGGGTCAACATACTGGGATGTATTACATGGGGATTTCATCTGAGGCAGACCTGAATGCGAATTACTGACCCTGCTCTGGATTGGACTGGTGTTCCCCTTAAGTTTGCCAGGCAATTTTTTGAGGTCTCTCGACTAGGTTGGAAGACAGCTAGAGTTTCCTTGGAAGGTATTGCGTGCATAATTACATCTAGATTCAGACAGCAGCCATCTGATTGTTGAGACCAGCATCATGCTGGTGGATTCTACGAACACTCCCGCCAAAGTAGCCCATCTTCAGGTAAAGAAAACTGCTGAAAGGAAGACCGTAAAATGACTTTTGGACGAACCCTTTTCTTTCTCACTTGTTAAAGTTAAAACATGTTCTAACTAAAAAGAAAGAAAGGAAAAATTGTTCGATCAGGAACGGATCAAATGGTCAACCCTTCTTTACGTCACTACTAATATTTGGCAACACTAGCATTATGCAAATCAGTTATTTATCATTATGAGTCTGGCAAATTTATAGTACAAATATTTTCTGTGTTTTGGTTTAATAAAGCATTAAAATAGGTACCTAATTAATTTTATTTACCTATGTATTACATATTTTACTGTACAATTTATTATTAGTTTGTTTAATTGAGGCAGCCACTTAATTGGGCCAAAATGGATTAGTCCCAATGTGTCCCAGTTAAGTGGAATCCATTGTACTTTGTTCAGGAATGTGCAGAAAGCCAAGTTAAACCCACAATAAGAAAATTATTATTTTTATGTATGTTGACAAGAAACAGTTTTTATTCTTTGGTATGTCATCCATCCGTGTTGTAAGTCTATCTGACAGCTGTTATCGAAGTTAATTTTGTCCTCATGCAGCAAACTAAGAATAATATTAAAACTTTAGTATTATGTTTAATATATGTTCAATTGGTTTATCATTTTCAGGATATTTAATAATTTACAAGAAAGCTCGCAACAGTTCTATCCAGGTTGGACGTCCAACACTCCTTCGCTCGTCGGAACACCAGACAGCAATCTGAGCGTGGACACGGAATTCTCTCAGAGGACTAATCACTGTGGAGGAGAGAATCCCGACAGCCAGTCGTTGCTGTCGGAGAACCCCGTGGACGAACTACAGTCGGGTACTGTGCATTTAGCACGTGTAGTGTGTCATCCAAAAAAATCAAATGACATTTCTAATCTTTTTGTTTTTCCAGTGCTGTCTTGGTTGAGAGACCAACCACCTCTTACAGAAGAACAACTGCAACAGTTATTTGTTGAAAAGTCAGATTTTGAGGCAAGTGTATTTGCTTGAAATTATTTTTGTATTAGATTTAAATGTTAACACTTTCCAGACTTCTAAGTAAATCGCTTTTATAATTGAGTGTCTGCAAATTCTGCATCTGTTTTAAAATTTCAGGCTGCTTTAAAAGTTGTTCAACCATCTGCAAAGAGAGAAGGTTTTGTTACGGTGCCGGATGTCACGTGGGATGACATCGGAGCACTGAAGGACATCCAGGAAGAATTAAAGCTGTCTATATTGGTCTGTTTAGATATTACACCTAACCAATAAGACTTACGTAATCTATAGCTAATTTAAAACTTTTTCCAGGCACCCGTTCAGTATCGCGAACAGTGCGAATGTCTTGGACTGACAAACCCTGTGGGAATACTTCTCTGTGGTCCTCCGGGATGCGGTAAAACTCTATTGGCAAAGGTTATTATTTAAATTAAATCAAGGTTTGATTATTAATACAAACATTGCTTGACATTTAAAGTTTTTTTTAATCCATTCAGGCCATTGCAAATGAATCTGGCATTAATTTTATTTCTGTCAAAGGACCCGAACTGCTGAATATGGTAAATTTAATTCCCATATATTTGTATGTTTGGACTGAGAAACGATTTTAACTTCTTAAATATCTGATTATTAGTACGTTGGAGAAAGCGAGAGAGCCGTTCGGCAATGTTTCCAGAGAGCCAGCAACTCTGCCCCGTGCATTATATTCTTTGACGAGATAGATGCACTCTGCCCCAGAAGATCAGATACTGCCGAGGTACAAAGATCAATTTAATAACATTTTGAATCAAAATTGGATTGCAGTTCACAATTTTAATTTTCTTTTAGGGTGGGGCGACTGCACGAGTGGTTAACCAAATGCTTACGGAAATGGACGGACTGGAGAGCAGAAAAAACGTCTTCATTATGGGAGCTACGAACAGACCGGACATTCTAGATCCCGCCATGCTTCGTCCGGGAAGATTAGACAAAATATTATTTGTCGGTCTTCCTACAGCATTGGATCGGGTGGAAATCTTGAAAACTATAACTAAAGTTAATAAAATTTGTTTATCATTGAATTTTCATTTGGAATGTGGAAATTAAATTGTTTAATTTTTACTCAATAGAACGGCACGAGGCCTCTCCTAAATGACGACGTAAATATAGTCGAAATCGGGAACAGTGGTCTTTGTACCGGTTTCACGTAAGTAAATTTACCCAATCACTCGACAGAAATAGCATTTTGTTACTTATATTTCTATTTTGGCAGTGGTGCCGATCTCTCGTCTCTTGTTCGCGAAGCATCTCTGGTTGCCTTCAAGGAATATCTTCAGCTTGCAACTAGCATGGATATAAAAGACATACAGCTCAAGGTGTCACGACATCACTTTGATGCAGCATTGAAGAAGATTAGATTAGACCCTCGATAACAGCCAAGGTAATACAATTTACTTGTACGTACAGGTTATTTTAATGTCACTTTTAATGGAAATTTTTCTATTAGGATCAAAAATTATACGAGAGACTAAAGATAACCAAATGTTCGGTAGCGGGATTTAACACGAAATTGGACGAAGAAACATTCCAAAATTCTAACGATAACAGATGATTTTGATTTTGCATTCGTCGGTAAGATGCCATTTTCGGTTTGTCGTCTACATACGTCCCATAATGTTGTTATCTAGATGTTAATGTCAGTTTCGGATCGGAACGTACTCTTTCGGTTTCTGATCCAGCAGTGATTTCTCTTTTTATCTTCTATTGCCGAAGCTCTTATTTACAAAAATACACACAGTCATATTACAAAAATATATCTTTACGCTTCAATTAGCTAAATATCAGAACAAAGTCTAACATATTTTCTTCTTTATACTCGACTGAGTAAGATGAACAGAACAAAAAATATGCATTTTGTTTTCTCTCTTTCATGAGGAATTCCTAAATAGAAATCATATCAGTTTTAAAATATCGAGTACAAATCTAGAATTGACTTTTTTCCCAATTTTGTAAACTAAGGACGGAAACGACTGAATTACGAGAGTTTCGGCAACTGGCCACGGTCGATACGATTTGGAGATTTGAAAACGGTTACGCAAAAATGGCGAATTATTAATTTTCCCGACCCCATCTCTTTTTTAAAGTAATGACTATTTGTCATTGGCTGTATTTGATGTTTTGAAGTTTGTAGTAAATAAATTTTTTTAAATTAATGGAAGATTTGTATAAGTAAGGAGTATTATTCAATATAGAAACTAGAGTGTACAGCACACAAGAAATTCACAATATTTAAAGTAATAAAAATTTGCATCCATTAACATTACAAAAGGATTGGACTGCCCAAATCATTGTTTTCTTTTAACTGCTCTTTGTTAGTCATTTTTAAAGGAAGAATTTAATTACAAAACAATATAAACTGTAGAATAAGTTCACTAAACACTTTTGTTTGCTATAAAGTCAGGTCTTAGGTGGCAGATCAATTCTAGAAAACTTGACTTTTACTTCAAGCCTTTAATACTAATGACTGGTTGCAGTATAAAAATTAAATCCATTCTCTCAAAAAATGTGGTTATTTATTAGCTTCGTTAGCTGATCAGAAAATCTTAAGAATTGCTTATTTTTCTACATTCTAAATTGAGAGGAAGCAAATTATTATTTTTTAAACTTTTAAATACTTCAATCCATGGGTTATCAGTTGATTTTATTTCAGTTACCACTTCATTTGAAAGCTTTTCATTATTTCACAATGTTTAAAGATTGCTTAGGTATAGTAAATTTGATATTCTTTCCAGAGATCACTAAAAACATCGCCTAGAACAGATGACACTGATCAACACAAATGTTTCCACTTAATTTCCCACTAATAGAAATTTATTAGCCTTTGAGATAACACTAGGCTTCTAAGTAACATCCAAGAATCATTTATTTTGGCACATCAGTTCTTATTCACTATAGAAAACTACAGGGCTGGAGTAGGTAGATCAAGCCCCAACTCGTACTTTGATTATATTAAATCTTAAATTATTATTTACCCAGAATGGCCTTTTATCACTACCAACTGGATGTCAGTGGTTTTGATGGGAATGCCCAATAAGTACTCTCCCTCACAGAGGTTTTTCCTTATCATCATCGTCATCCACACGTTTTCCATTTTGAGGTTTGTCACTATTTCGTATTAATAGTGTTAACTCCTTATTTGACCTACTTTCACTTCTATAATGAATATCATAGAATTGACACACTCAAACATGATAAGAAGGTACTTTATTAAGATATCCTTTACCTTTCTTAACCCACTGTAATTGTCTAACGAACATAATCCATTCCAAGACTTTGTTTGCTATCCAAATTGTTCGTTAACTGATTATTGATTAACCATAGGTTTTTATGGGAATTTGATTAATTTGTTCTGGAGATCCCAAAAAATAAAAATAAACGTAGTAAGAAAGTATATGTGTAATAATAAAAATGCAAGACTGAAAAAACATGACATATATACACAGTTTCTGGGGGTTAAAGAATCTGTCCAATGTCAATTGTTTTTCTCCCTTCTTAGCATTTTTCAGAAGTAATTAATAGCATTGTAATTGTATACATCAACCTGGTTTGGATGCTATTCTATGACCGTTGTTCTGATATCCTCCCACTTCAAAAGATCTTTAATAGCAGATATTGGCATTAATCTTCTTATTCAGAAGAAAACATATCTTGGCAAGTTTCTTGGTGTTCTACATTCAATTGTTCTTAGTGTTATTCTGTCGTCAGATCTGTTTCTGGTTCCATTATGAGCTCTTCGATGTGGTTTTTGATATTCCTTAAGCTGCTTGATCTTCTTGATTATACTGTATCTTTCTTAGATAAGATTGAACTGCCAACCTACTGTAGACCTGTTCGAGCCATACTGCCCAGCAACATCAGACATCTTCTGCCCACTCTCAACCTTTGCTATTATACTCCCGCAAAACTTAACGAGTGCCCACCTGACAGTTTTGCGAATACTATAAAAAAATTGTTTCTGTCAGAAAAATAAAAGGCTGGAATTACAAGGGAGAGCTTCAAAGTTCGAAGAAATACTATCCGATTGGTATATACTGGATTGAGCGTTGATGTTGATGTCAACATCTCCCGCACTCCGAAAAATTTTGAATTGTTGCCTGGAGACAAGGGAAGACAAATCAGTATTCATTATTTTACATCGCTTCTTGTGTTTGTTTGTTGTTATCCGAACACATGTTCGGATAACAAATCACCCACCGTATATTAGAGGTCAGGTCTCACACCTTTTATAATATTGTTGAAATCTACAGCTCAATATTGAACACACATTCAGGAAGGTAGATTATCAAATGGAGGTAAATTGGTTGTCTCTGGGTAATGGTGTCTACTTTGATGAAAAGAAGGCCAATCCAGTAAGAATGTGACAGGTAGCAATCTTTTTTGTATCCTTATATTATACATCAACCAAAATTTGGCTGCTGCAGTTTTCCTTGATCTCTTCTCCAATTCATTACTGCTGTGACTTTCAGAAAACAGCACAGTCATATGCAAAAATCCAGAAGACAATAGAGGCAGAACTCAAAGAAATGTTCACAACAAGAGAAGACAGGTCAAGGGAGACATGCCATAAATGCTTACGGGATGAACATCATCCGTTGCCACCTCTTCTGATACTGAACGAGTTGGTTTGTCAGACACTCATTTTGAGCCACTTGTCCTTGGACTGCACCCAAAGAAACCCATTCAAATTCTGGATGGTTCCAAAAATGCAGGAATAGGGGCACTCCACTGGCACTGCCACCTTTTTCAATCAAAACATTCTCATTCTGTAAAATAGAAATTTTACAATTAGAAACAGAAAGCAGAGAGTTAAGTTATGTAAATAGGAAAAGAGTGTACCAGGGTGTCTACAAAATTCGGAAACTTTAAATTTGGTCACCTTCACAATTTTCCCTGACCCATAATGTTTTGATGATACTAAAATATCTGTATTTTAAAAAATAAAATATGCACTTTTATTTTCTCTTTTTTTCTTGGTGTTTTCGTAAGCTTTAATTTGATTTTTCAAGTATCTCTATTGTGTTGGGTTAACTTTTGTTTCTTTCGTAGCTCAAAAATTTCATTTGCAAATTTGGTTTCCTAATTTTGCCGATCATCAAATTGCCTCTGTCTCTCTTTTCTTCAAAAGCTGCTTTTTGTTTACAAGACAAAAACCACCAAACTATCAGAACACAACTGGAGTGTCGCAGCACACATTGAGTAAGAAATATTTCTTGTCAGGTTTTCAGTGAATATAACAAGGTGTACCTGTTGTATAGTATTCATTTCCACTCCTATGGTTGTAGTACATTGGAAAAAGGGATATTTTACCAGTATGAAAATATTAGGACTATCACAGGCATCGATCGATAAGAGAATTTTCTTTTGGCACTTAGTTAACTCACCATTGCAATATAAAATATACTGTGATAGTGATTCAACGAGACTACGATCGTGTCCGTTGGAGGCTTCAAATCCAAAATGATGTCACTAAGAAAATGAAAACAAAGCACTGAAATACTGCACTAATGTCGGAAGACGTCGGGAAAAATGCTCTCGTCAATCTAAGTAATGTCCCATACACTAACTCTGCAGTCGAGGTTTTGATATCTTTCACTGCTGTACAGTACATAGCTTCAAAAGCACCTCTGTAGTACCTTGACCCAACACTAGAACAATAGAATTAAACAAGCTTTTAGAACACTCATTTGGCAAATGCTTTCAACAAGCCTGTTTGCTTTTGGATGGAAAGCCACAGTATGTATATGAACAACAACCACTAGTCTTGGCATGGATTGGAGCAATTGTGATCAGTAGAAGTGAAGGGAAAATTAATCTGAATCAAGAAAATCTTGGTCAGAGACTTAATTTTCTTAAAAAAAATCTTTAAATTACAATATTAAATTATCTTCAAATGATACAAATAATTATAAAATGTGGAAGAATTGTTTATCTAATATCTATGGTTAATTTAATCTAGTAACCATGCTCTGTTCCCATTTTAGGGGAGATAGAGTGACTAATTAGAGTTGCCATCCAGCTGGCTTGACCAGCAATCTATTCTGTATATACAGGGTGTAACAAATGTGTGTAAATAAATTTGAGGAATAGAGGAGTTAATTAATGTACTGTACGCGTAATGCAAATCGTTAATTTTACTGAACTAAAATACACTTTGGAAAGTGCTGTATTCAAAAGATTCGGGAGAAAATTTGGTATAGTCCCATCACTGATCAGTAATAATTTTTTGCGGTACCAAAATGTGCAGTCCAGTTACCGTAAAATGCTCGAGTGACCACTTCCACCGTAATATCTCGGATTGGTAAACTTTTCATCCGGTGTCTGAATCTGTCAATCGTAATCACACAGTATTGGAACCCTCACAACAAAAGTGGGTCTGGGTTAATATATGAAATGCCATGTTGGAAACCATTTGGCCTAAGACAGAATATACAAGTACACCTTGTATATTCTGTATCTTGTATTTGGCACTTGACGCATGTTTTAGCCCATAGTCGTGTATCCTTAATATAAGGTCAGAGGGGTTTCGAGTTACGTGTCACATGATAAAATGTATGTTTGTGATCTAGTTCCACTTGCTTTGTAAAAACATTGCAGTTCTATTAAGTTTAAATTGAAAAAAGCACCACCAACCTGTGAAATAACATTGTAAGTTCAAAAAGATGTTTTTCTGGCATGTTATTTGCAGTCTGACAGGATGAGATGCTGCTTTATACGAAGAAAAAGTTTCATTACATCAAGGTGTCTATCCATACAAAGCCAGCATCTTCGTTGCAGATCGAGAGTTGTCCCCAAATTCTGCTTTAGGACACAAACTATTTGATTTTGACAACAAATTGCCACTCTCTCACAAACGAAAGTTATGGGCTGCTACAGATTTGTAAGCTATCTTACAAGTGGCTGTTTCTCCCAATTACATGCTTTTTCATAACACTCCTGATATGCAGTTGGGTTGTGGTCACTCATACCCCATGTATAATGGCACCCAGTCTGGTGATGACTCATTGTATAAATACAATGAGGAAGTTTTCCTTTGGATAAAATAAAAATTATTAAAAAGAACTTACCATAATGATAAATAATTAATATAAAAAGTTATGTATGTTATGTTTATAATGTTTATGTACAGTACATTATATAAATAAAAATTTGTCAGGAACAACTGAAGGTTCCTATGTAATGGTTAGATGTTACTAATGTAAAAAAACATTTCTTTAAGATGCTACTTTTTACAATGTTAATGTTGTTAACCAAAATAACCCAACTTACCTATTTGTAAATATAAATCGATAATTTCTATTGTTCATCTTAAAAAATACATGCACTTATTTATGTAAATTAAACATGAAGGACAATTTGCTCAAAATACATTTGTAATCCTTCATTTGCTAAGTGATTATCTTTGCTTAACACTTAAATATACAGTAGAATTTAATATTAATTACAAGCAGAGACTAAGAAAAATTGAAAGATGAAACAATCATCATCTATTCAAACTAAAATCTGCAGTTAAAATTATTATTTTGTCAGTATTAACAAAAGTATTTATGCAGTCAGCTTGTACATACTATGATACTCATGCAAAAGTTTACTGGTTATTAACAAATAATTAGATAACCTGATTTATTGCTTACCTAAAATAAAGTGTTTCTGACAAACTCTCACTTTATCCATATTGAAATTTTTCTGGTTAATTCTCGAGAGCCTTCGTTACGAAAGCTCTTCAGTTAGGGTCCTCGATGACAAATAATACCGGAAATTTTAAAAAATGACATTCCTTTGTTCTTGGGTGAACTAGTGTTACAACAATTCACCATAGTGATATTCACGATGAATAAACAACACAAGAACTTCGGCTAAAGCGCGAGTAAACATAATCGGACGTCGACTCGAAACCTCTATAAAATGGATAACCATTAGTTTGGTGGTTGCTCTAGTGTTTGGGTGTGCTATACACTAGAAGCTTCCCTGTTTTTCTGAAGTTATTTCGTGTCGCCAATTTTCCCGACTGGCAGATGCCAAAATACAGCAGATTCACAATAAAACAAGTACCAGAATCACGGGCATGTTTGGAGATTGTAACCAGTGTTGCTGGTAATTACTGGAGCATTTACAAAATTAACCAGAATAACCTGTTTAAAAATCACGGTTATGATGTCACCAGTTGTTCTTCAGTACTTACCGAAGTAACCACGCTGACAAAGCAGTTACGACAGTTCTCTTGAAGTACAAAATGGTGGACACATTTTAAAAATTTAGAGGAAACAACATTTTATTTCCTCTAAATTTCCAAACGTATCTATGGTTACTGGATAATATGGTTGGGGAGAAGAGAATTTTCTGTATAAGGTCACTTTTGTTAATATGGTTAATGATTTTCTACATAAAAATTCAGAAGCTTTATTGAGGAAATATATATTGC